AAACCCAAACCCCTTCAATTTTGAGTTATAACAGTTAAGGGAAAGGCAAAAGAAGAAGAAATGAGAAAAAAAATTCATTCATTCATTCATTCAACCAGTATTTGAGCACCCACTATAAGCCAGGCTATGTTCTAGGAATTTGGGATCCATCAGTGACCAAGAAACCAAAATGCTCCTGCCCTTGTAGAGCCTATATTCTAGAGGGGAAGATAGATAATAAACATAATAATAAACGAGCTAATTATGTAATAAATTGGAAGTTGATAAGTGCTATGAAAAAAGAAGACTAAAGCAGGCTGAGGGGAGGCAGGAGTGGTGGAGGACAATGGAGGGGTGTGGGCTGTGATTTTAAACAGGAGTTATTGAATGGATAACATTTGAACAGAGACTAAGGGAAGTGAGGAAGTTAGCCATGCCATTGTCAATGGAACAGCATGGCAGGCAGATGGAGGAGCTCCTGGCTGATAGTGTTAGGTCTCCTGGAGAAACAGCAAGGAGGTCCGTGTGGCTGAAGCAGGAGAGTGAGGGTGAGAGGGAAGGGGGCTCAGAAAGGCGAGGCAGCACCCCCTCAGGCAGGGTTTCGTAGGCTCCGGTAAGGACGTTGACTTTGACTCTACTTCCCAAAGGAGGCTGTGGGAAGGCTACGTGGACTCACCTTCTTTGAAAGGGCCGATGCTGGACCTGTCCTTGACCCCTGCCTCCAAGTCTCTGGGATGGGACCAAGGCACTGTTGTATTTCTGACACATTCCTCTGGGTGATTCTGATGTGCAGTTAGGTTCAGGGACATTCTTTCAGTTCAAAAATTCCACTATTCTAAATTAAAAATAACAATAAAAGGAAGTAAAAATTTCATAGCATCCCCAAATGTTGGTGATTTAGAGCCTTTGGAGATTATGCAAGAAATTGAGGCCCAGAGGTTAAGTGACTTGCCCGAGGTTATGCAGCTATAAGAGGCAGCTTCACCCTTCTCACTGAGTTCACCGACCCTTCCACTGTGCCAGGCTGCCTAATAAACTGTATCAGTTCACTTTTCAGGCAGTTAGACTTCCAATATGTTCCACCATTAGGAATGTAGTTTGAATGCAGAGCTCTGTAAGGTTGATTGGTTGATTAAAAGTTTGGTTATCCAAAGATCAATCAGAAAGCTGCTATTGTTTTAACCTTTATGGTTAAGAATCATTCCAAATGTATTAATCACATTTTCTGCTTCTTTAGAGGAATTCTGGAAGAGTTCTATACCATTTTATAATGGGAATAGACCTTAATTGTTCAGGACCTTGCAGTGCCTCTGGGTCGTAATTCTGAAGTAAGCTCTTATTTGACTTCAGTATAAAATATACAAGCCATTCACCTGACCCTGGGCATATATGAGGTTTAGCGTTTGAAGAAATTTCTGATTTAGTTTGCTTTTTGATTTGTTTCTTAGACGTTGACTGTAGCCAAATTTTTTTCACGTAATTCGTTTTTTTTTAAATATCGTTGGTTTTTCTGGCCTTATTCTGTAACTTGAAACTGAGTTTGATTTGCAGTGTCTGAGCTTGTAGACTTTGCTGTTATCCTGGAATGCACTGAAATTGTGACATGGGAGTCAGTCCAGAAATCACTTATATGAACAAGAACTCAGTCCTCAGAGCTAAGCGAGGGAATGACTTCCATTGAGCCACTTCTCCTCCACTTGCACACTTCTGCATGTTTCAGTGACCAAATCCGTGCCAGCATCAGGGGCAGATTACACATTCCCGCTGAGAACACTGGAGGAGATGATAGGGCTACACCGTTTTTGCCTCTCATTAAGCCAGAATTGGCAGTGGAAGCTGTGTCTGAGGAGAGTATTGAAACTATTGGCTGCTCTGGGCATGGGAGGAAAGATTTATACCTGGTGCATGTCCCCCATTCCGTCTTCTGTTCCTGCAGAAGAGTCGCATTCAGTGAGAGGCGCTGGTCCCGATATGAAATGTTCAATGAACCTACGAGAGCAGCTCAGTCCTGCTCAATAGCTGCCTCGAGGTTATTTACTCTCTCAAGGCTTAATCTTTTCTTTTTTTAATTTAGAAAGTTCAACTTAAATTTGTTTCTGCATGACTTGTCTCTTCATGATTCAGCCCCTAATGTTCTCTGCCAGAAAACTGGTTTTAATTTCTGTTTTATCATAGTCTTCTTGCCCTCAAAGCCCCAGTGAGTGACTGGCGCTTTTCTCTTCTCTGGGTGGTTTCATCATAGTAACTGCATTCCTAGAGAAAACTCTAAAGAAGTAGACATGTGGAATGAGAATTAGCATTGCTCTCAATTTCCAAAAAAGGCTGCCATTGGTAGCTCTGTGAAGAATAGTGGCTGAACCGGGTGTACATAAGAGAAGCTTTTGGAGTGATTAACTCCTGACTTAACATTCCATCAGGGACTGGTATGGAGACCAGTGCTTTTATAATTGAACTCTGATGATGTTTGCCCAGCTTCTGAGTGGTCCCTTGGAAGTAGAGCAGATGGCAGCCATCGGGCTTAGGCCTATTTCAAATGAATGATTGTCCCTGTATCTCAGTCTTGACCATTTAATGTGGTGTTCTTATAGGCGTGGATGGGGACAAGGAAGCATGAACCCAGGCAGCCTGGAAGGGAGCTGTGGTGGAAGCTGTGGTGCCAGGAAAGAAGGACTTACTCCTCCAGCTGGGGGAGTGCTGCCAGCAGACAGCCTCAGCTCAGCTGTCAGTCTCAGAAGGCTCTGGCCTCAGCTGAAGATAGCCGCCATGCCCAAGGTCACTGAGGTGGCTGGCAAGTACTACTGGTACTTGCAACTACTGATCCATGTGGGGTAAAGGCCTCTCCTCCTGACCCAACTCAAGACAACTCTGAAGCATCATCCCAGCTTCAGAATCCTCCCTGCAGGGGTGCCTGAGGCTTTTATTGAGACTGTATCCTAGCTTGGTTTCTCCCTCTGCTCAGTCTTCCTCTCTCCCTCTTTTCCTCCCAGATGTTGATTCCAAGAGTGAGCCTAATAAACCTTCTGCCTGCTAAACATTATCTCAGAATCTGCTTCTTGGGGAGCCCAACCTGCATGGAAATCTTATGAGCAATTTGCCTGTCCATTAGAAAATATAGCATAGACTTGTTCTGCATTAACTGGAGATGCACTTTTTCACGTCATCGAAAAAATGTTTAAAAAGATCGAAAACTTGGAAAGTTGAAGAGTTAAACTGAGAAGAAGAGAAACAAAGGTAGAAGAATTAGGTTAGTCTAGTTCTTTCTCCTCTCTGCATCTGAATTTGGGATTTGGGGTGACACCTTGCTTCTCTAGGAAGGTTAGAGGCTGTCATTTGAAGTCTTCACCCAGTCACTCCAAAAGCAGATGTTATGGGGAGAGAAAGGAAGGGAAGAACCAAAGGTACTATTTCAAATGGGATACTTCCTTCTTTGTGCTTTGCATTACGGCTCTGTGTTCTTGTCCTTATAAGCAGCTCTAGATTGAGTCCTCTCTTAGCCTATCTCATTTCTCCCCTGTGCCCTGGGGGCAGCAGGCAGGAATCACTGGAACAACCAATGAATAAATGGGCAGTTGTGTCTCGTAGGTGCCTCGCAGCTGTAACCCAGATTTCACATGAGGGGAGGATGAAAAGCAGCCTTGATACCTTCCAAAAGTATTCTTATTCTCCTTGAGTGAAGCTTAGCCTGTGAATGCCTCACTCAGGGGAGCAAGGGCAGGCATATTTAATAGCCCGCCCCAGCGTGTGAGGAAGAGCAGTTGACAACCGGAGGCTGGATGGGGCAGAAGCCAGGGTGAAAATTTGGTGACACCCAAGGAAGAGGTGAAAACTCAGGAGGAGAAAGCCAAGAACCATACTGACAGCTTCTTTCTGTTCTTTCCTTGGATCTTAGGGGGAATTTGTGTGTTTAAGGGTTCTTTCCAATGCAGGGCCTCCCATCCCTTGGCATGAACCTCCAAAGGACAAGTAGACATGGAATGGACTTCTTCTGAAGACCGGGTCACCATCCAACTCAGCCTTCAGAGTAGGAGGGGGAGGGAAAGCGTGAGGTCCCTCCTTGCCTCGCTGAGTGTTCTGAGGCCAGCAAGTCAGATGCGTGGGCTTGGGCTGTAGGATCCCTCGTATTTGGGGAGGGGCGTCTTGGTGTTTTGCTCAGGGATGTGTTAAAATGTGTTCGTGAAAGGCGGTGCTACCCAGGCCCCACCGCCCTTCAGGGCCTGGCCCAGGGTGTGTGCCACGAGGGGCAGAGGCGCCGGGGCACTGGAGGGCGGCACAGGGATGGGAGCAGAAGGGAGAGGCCTCTGGACAGCGGAGGAGAGGAGCGCGCCGAGGCGCGGTGCCAGCCGCAGCGCCCGGGGCCCGTGGGCCGAGCCGAGCGGCGGGCACGCTCTGTCCAGCCGGGGCGAGCTCGGGGGCGCGGGGCGCAGTGGGGAGCGCGCG